CTCCCCACTGTTTGCCTCACAGGTTCCCGGTGGGGGGCAGGGTGTGGAAGGCTGCCCTGGGTGCATCTGTGGGCAAGGAGCCCAGCGACGGCCTGTGCCTCCTGCAGACCCAAACTGGCCCCACCCAGGGAGGCCCTCACTTGGTGCCCATCTTGGCCAGGAGAGGGGCTATTTGGAGCATCAGTGGGGCTGGGGAGCCCCCTGAGCCTGGATGTTGGTTGCAGAAGTGGAAGGGAGGCCTGGGGGTGGAGGGCACTGCCTGCTCTAGGCCAGCATCTTCAGAGCAGCTTGGACCTGCCTACCACTCTCCTGGGCAGGCCCATTGGACTGGGGTTGGGTTGGCTACCAGGTGGTGCCTGGGACCAGCTCCAGGCCTGGGAACACATCTGTGACTCTCAGGTTCTCAACCATCCCTGTCTTGCTGTCCCCTCCAGTACTCCTGCAGCCCCAGGTCACATGGCTCGCCTTGGTTCCCATGGTCCCTGAGGATACAGCTGCGGAGGGTGGCAGGAGGAGCTCAGGCCATGGTTCTGTTGACTAAGCTGCAGAGCCAGCCTCAGAGGGCCCCAGCCAGGCGCCTACCGCCCTCCTGAGTGCATGGCTCCCGGTGGCAGGCTCAGAGAAGCTGCCTGCCTACCCCAGGTCACACAGCAAAGTGAGGGTCCCCCACACTGGGGCAGCATCCAGCCTCCCTGGCTTCCACCAGGTTCTACCAGCCCCAGGGGACTCAGGGGATGCAGGACTCAGGGGACCCCCAGAAGGCCTTGGCTTGGGGTAGGGAGAAGGCCTGGGGCTTGCCTACCTGTCCAGCGGGTCCCTCCTTCTTCCCCCGAGTTTGCAACTCTCAGGACAGAGTGCGTGGTTCTAGGCCTCCCGTGCCTGTTACTACTGCTCAGGGCCCTTGCCCAGGTGCCACTGGCTACCCAGGGCTGGGAGGAGGAGGAGCAGTGGGAGAGAACAGGAAGGGGAGGACGAAGGCAGGAGAGAAGATGGAAGGGGAGAGAGGGAGGAGACTGCTCCCCCCTTTGTCTGGCACCCCTGCCAAAGCTGCTCCCTCACAGCGGGGATGAGTCAGGGCTGGAATGCCCAGCAAGAGCCTTGGAATTCTCTGGGATCCACAGCCCACCTGGATAGGTGGGGGTGGGGTGGGGGGGTCTGGGTGAGGAGAGGTGGGTGCAGATAGACGCCATGCAGCCTGGAGCTGGAGATGGCTGGGACCTCCACAGGGCCCCTCCATGGGGACAGAGGATGGATGGGTACTGGGAAGGCCAACCAAGGGGTCACATGGGACCTGCCCTGCGGGCTGGGGGCTCTGGAGGAGCTGAGCCAGCTCGAAGCCCCCCTGCCTGACGTCACTGCATCTTCGGGCCAGCCCGGCTCCAGCGCAGACACACTCCGAGGGGAAGGGAGGCTGAGGGCTTGGAGGCCCTACATCAGGGCCCCGTGACAGAGGCAGAAGACAAGGTTTGGCTGGTTCTCCCCGGTTCCTGGCTGGGCCCAGGCAGTGGGCAGGCTGGCGGGTGGAGGCTGGGCGGGCTTCCCGGCACAGCCCTCATTTCCCCTCGAGGGACTGGCACAGGACTCCGCCAGAACTATGCAGAGGGGAGGGGGCTGGCTGGACAGCGAGCCTGCAGGGGGCGGCCAGAGACCCCCACAGAGTCAGAAGGAGCCAGGAAGGGGCCTCCGGGGGTGCCCAGGGGGAAGGCTTCCCTGTGTCCAGCGCAATGAGTACCTCCATTTTATGGGAGAGAAAACTGAGGCCTAGAAAAGGGGGAACAGATTCCAACACCCCCCAACCCGCACCCCGAGTCACTCAGCATGAGACCGAGACTCCAGCTCAGGTAACTCCAGGCTCTAAGCTTCCAGGCCTCGGCCTCGCCTCTCAGCACCGCGTGAAGGACGGGGTCTCTGGGTGGCTGGCTTGGCCCAGAGTGGGCAGTGCAGAGCCTGGGGGAGGAATTCCTGGGGAGACTGGTGACGATCAGGATGATCGGGGTCGGGGGTTGCGGGGAGGTAGATGGGCCCAGCTGCCCCAGTTTAAGCGTGCCCCTCCCTCCTGCCCATCACCTCACACTGCCCCCCCTTTCAGGAACACACACACACACACACAAGCAGGAAGGCCAAAGCCCAGGAAGTGGGAGCCCCCCTTGGACAGATAGTGTGAGAATCACAACAAGTTCCCCCAACGCCACCTCCCCACACCACCTGGGCCTTTGGGCCTCAGTTTCCCTTCATCGGCCTTCCCAGGCATGTCCCCAGGACTTCAGGAGGGCCTCCAGCCCCATCAAAGCAGGCTCTGAGCTCTCTGGACCCCACCTCCTCAGAGCAAAGGAAAGAAGCGGTAATGGCCATGAGGCCTCAGGCCTGGCGTCCACAGGTGTGAGCGAGGGAGGAGGCTGGGCTTCCTGGAGCGTGCGCCTCCGACCCCATAGGGCCCTTCTTGTCTGGCCTTCTGGACATCAGAACAGTCCTCCGAGCAGGATTGCTCCAGGTCGCAGCCAAACAAGACATATTGGCAGCCTCTGAGAACATGGACGGGCCGTGCCAGGCATTCAGGCCAGGCCAAGGGCGGCGGGAGCAGGACTTGAGGTCTGGCATGCCCTGGGAGCTCGCCGGCCGAGGTGTGGCCCACAGTTGCCAAGTCCTAGACGCCGGGCACTAGCCCTAGGCCCCAACCCGACGTGTCTGGCCCCACTGAGCCACCCGACTGGAATTCTGACATGCGTGCCACCTTCCACTCAGCCCTGTCAGGTCCCTGGGACTGCATGGGTGAGGTGTGGTGAGAGAGAGGGAGATTGGGGGGGAGGGTGGTGATTCAGGGTGCCCTTCCTCCCTTACTCAATCCTGTTCACCAAACCCCCTAGGCCCAGCTTCAACCAGCAGGCAAGAGGAAGGGTTGCTACCCAGGCTGACCCTGGGGTGCTCCCTATGGCCCCCCGGACTCCCAACAGCTCTAGTCTGCACTTGGGGTCAAACAGAGAGCGGGCACATGTGCCACCCATGGGTCTGCTGAAGCCCACATGTGTGTGCTGTGGGGATGACTGCATAAAGGGCTGGTGGCTGGAGTGGGGAGGGGTTGGTTCCTGAGCCCCACCCTGTCTGCGTCTGGACCCCAGCCATCCTGAACCCACCATCATTGTCTCAGCGTGCCCTCAGGTGACAAGGGGAGCAGATGCCCAAGTGTGGCTCACCAGGTCAGCTCCTTCCTATTGTGGCCCTGGCACTGCTGGGTGACTGGACAGAGCTGGGTCTTCAAGGACAAACTCCACCTGGACATGGTGTCAGAGGCTGCAGGAAGCCAGCCATTGGCTGCAAAGGGCTGCCGCCAGGAAGGGGTGAGGCAGCTGGTGCTGGCCAAACAGACTCCTCTCCGCTCATGTCAAGGAGAGCCATCCCCCACCTGCCCCCACCCTGCCAGGAGGGAAGCAAGAGGGTCAACCTGCGGGCTTTCTGTCACGCTAGGAGTCAGGTCACAGAAGGCCTGCATCAGCCGGAGGTCCTGAGTTCCCTGGTCCTTCTATACCTAAGCTGTGTGCCCTTCCTCCTCCTCCCACTGATGAAGAAATCCTGAGCTCCTCATCATGTTCTAGAATCTTTGAGGAGCCCAGCCAGTGTGGCTCAGTGGTTGAACATCGGCCTATGAACCAGGAGGTCATGGTTCGATTCCCGATCAGGGCACATGCCTAAGTTTTGGGTGCCATCCCCAGTGTGGGGCGTGCAGGAGGCAGCCAATCAATGATTCTCATCATTCATGTAACTCTCTCTTCCTCTTCCTTCCTCTCCGAAATCAATAAAAATATATTTAAAAAATAGAATCTTTGAGGAAGAGGGAGGATGCTATCACTACCTCCCAGGGCGGGGCAGGAAACTCGAATGATTTCCCAATGACCATAGAAGGAAGCCCTGCTTTTTACTACTTGCTGAATGGGTAAGATGAGGCTCAGAGTTTGCCCAAGGCCACCCAGTGAGGAAATGGTGGAGCTAGGACTTTGCTGTCTGTCTGTCTACCACCCATGTGTCTTGCCCCACCCTCTGCCATCAGTTGCAGGCTTTGCTGCAGGCCCCAAAGCCGCAAGATCCCACGCTCTCTGGGCTGCGTAGGGGCTGGGCCAGCCCCTGGGGTCCCTGGAGAAGACTCGTTGGCAGCTCTCTTGCCCCGGCTGGGACATGAGGTGGTTGGAAAGCACAGCCCTGCACCCCCTTGCTTGCATCAGAAATCCTTTAGAAACATAGCGCCTCTCTCTGGCCGCCACCATCAATAGCTCCCCACTGCCCGAGGAGCCTACCCCCTTCGTCGATGGATCAGGTGGCACTGCTTTGGCCCAAGTATATGCACAAGGCCAGCTCTGCTTCAGTCTGCAAGGAAGTTGCCTGCAAAAGCCATCACCCTGGCAGGCCAGGGAAGTTCCCCTGAGCATTTTAGGTCCCAGCAGGCGCCAGACCCCCCAGGCGATGCTCTCTGCCTGCCTACCAGAGCCTGGGTCCCTGCCTGCCTCATTTCCTCCTTAAGCCAGGCCAGGGCAAGGGAGCTTGGCCTGGGTCCCAGGCCAGGAGAGCTGCCAGGCACCCTGGAGGGAGGCCTGTAGCCCCTTCCCTTCCTGGGCCCAGGGTTCCCCACAGCCCTTCCCTGCACAGGGTCCCAGCTCTCTCCCAGGTGCTCCAGCTGTGGCGGGACCCAGCCCTTGGCAGCCAGGACCTATTCACCTTCAGCCACTCGCAGGGTGCCCTGTTTCAGGCCTCTTTGTAGCTGGGCGGCCTCTAAGGCCCTGGGGACCATAATGAAGGTTGAGCTGGGACTCAGACTTCTGAGAGGATCAAAGTCACACTCTCCTCTGCCTCGGGACTTCCCTTGTCTCCAGGGTCAGAGCTGCCAGAACCAGCCTCTGCCCTCTGCCCCTGTCCTTCAAGCCCTGCTTCTATTCCCCCAATCCCCAATCCTGTGGCCACATGGGCCTCTGACTGCTGTGTCCCCGTGGGCCATCTGACCTCCCAGAGGCAGCTGGTGGGGGAGAAGCCGGGGTGAGGTCAGAGTCACACAGAGTTTTGGACCTCCCCGAGTGCCCTGCCCCCTAAACCTAAGAGATGTGTCACCACAGGGAGGGGGCAGATGGGAGTCATCTGAGTCCCCGAACCTTCGCTGGTGCTGCTGGTGCTGCTCTGTAGGCCGTGCTGGGAGCTGAGCAGCATCTGCAAGAGCTGAGGCTGCTGGGCTCTGGGCAAGAAGGTGCCCTCCATGGCCACTCCAGGAGCTACCCCTACCCAGAGCAGAGGGGGTGGGGAAGAGGCTCATGTGGGGCTGGGGTGGCTTCCAGGAGCCTGGAGTCGCAGTGGGGGTGAAGGGTGCCCTGGGACACTTGGGCTGTGTGTTCCTATATGGAAGGTTGGAGCTGGTCTGGAAGGCTGGAGAAGGACCTGGCCATGGGGCTGGGGCTGGGACAGGCCTGAGCAGACCCCCTTCCACCCCCCCACCAGCACAGCCCCCTCTGCTCACTTCCCACTGGCTTCCCCTAAGACGGGATGTACAGAAAGGGTTCTGTGGGTGGCCCAGGGTGGGAGCCGAAGTGGACAGGAGGGAAGGGAGGGAGGGGCAGAGCTGGCAGGGCCCGGATCTGCTTGCCTTCAGGGGGAGCAGACACTCATTCCCACCCCAGGGCTCACAGCATGGCACTCTGGAGAGCCACTGTCACCTCCTAGCCCCTCAATTTGAGGCAAGTCTTGGGCTAGTGTGGCTCACTCGCAGCAGCAGGGCAGACAGGCGTGGGGTGGAGCAGCTCCAGGCAGGGCCCAAGCTCTCTGGCTCTGGGTACCTGACCAAGGGGAGCAGGATGAAGTCTTGGTGGGCCTGGGAAGACCTTGTTAACAATCAGGATGGACAAGGATAGTGAGGGGCCCCGGACGTGCCACCTGCAGGACAGCAGCCCAGTGGGTGGGGCTTCAGAGGCCAGGGTGTGGGTGGGAGGAGGCAGCCCTCTCAGAAGGCCCAGCTTGCAGACCCTCGCTTTCGGGCTCATGACAACTCCCTCCTCTGGGGACTTGACACTGGCACTGGAAGAGACACTCTGTGGCCTCCAGTGACTGCAGAATCTTCCCGAAGGAGACTCTTGTCTTACAAAGGCCCCCTTTCCTCCTATCCTTCCCTGTCCACGCCCCTCCAATGGGCCAGGGCCATGGTGGGGAGATATTTGGGTTGATGGTTGCAAGTCACCACGCACACCGATCAGAGGGTCGCCCCGGACTAACTCAGAACTGCCACCGGATCCACTGGCAAAGGGGTGGGGCCTCAGACTCCCCATCTACTACACGGGGACCCCGGCCTCTTCTCCAGGGCAGGCAGAACACAAAAGCAGTGGGATGTTCGTATCCACTGGAACCTGGGTCCGTGGGGCTTGAAGGTGGCCCAGTGGGTAGCTGGACCGGGCGGCTGGCTTGCCATCAAAGCTCTCTCTGCTCCCGGCTCCCAGCCTGGCCCTTACAGTTTGGAGGCAGCTCTGCACCTTCCTTTCAATGCACCACACAGCCCAGTCCTCAGAGGCTCCCCCAGGAGGCCCACGGTAGCTAGCCATGGGCAAGCACCACACGAAGGTACTTCTGCCCTTGCAGGTCTCCCAGGCACGGATGGCACAGGCAGCAGCGCGTTGCCAGGAGCACTCGCCTGCACATCTGTAGTCTCGTGCACGCGTTCTCACTCTGCATGAACGCGCTCCTGGACACAGACCCTCAGGAACCTTCTTCTCTGGTGCTGAGGGAGGCCCGAGCATCTCCAGCCTGTCCCGGCCCCAGGCCGGCCCTAAGGGCGGTGAGCTGGCAGGCCAGGGCGGGGTGAGGGCACAGAGGCAGGAGCCTCCTGAGGACAGATGGCATTGACCGCAGCCGCAACCTGAGCGGCTCTTCTGAAGATTGTTCCTGAACAATCTCTCTGGCTTAAGTGAGGTCTGCCCCACCCGATGCCACCCACTGCTCCCCCCTGGAGGATCATGGACTTTCTGCACTCAGCAGCCCTCAGTAACCAGTGCCCAGGCCCCACACCAGCCCATGCCGCAGGGAGGGGGGGAGGTGGCCAGGGCACTCAGGGGCACACCCAGAGAGCTCTGTTCTACCTTCCTCCTCTCCTGGGTCTCTTGACAGGCTCCCCTATGTGCCAGCCATCTTGGAAGCTTGCGGGACAGGAGCCAGTGATCTTGTTACCCTCACCCTGATCGTCTCACAGTATGACCACAGGCTATTGTCATCAGTAGTCAAGTGACTGTGACGAGTCCCTGGGTGGTATGGGGTCAATACAGCCAGAGTTTGTCGGTCAGAAGCCCTGGGTCCTGACCTCAGCTCTGCCCTTGAATGGCTGTGCAACCGTGAGCAGGTTCCTGCCCCCCTCTGGGCCTCAGTAGCCCCCTCTGTACAATGGATGGGATGGGGGTGGGACCCGCAGGAGCCACTCCTCCCCACCCAAAGGGCCCTAGAGGCAACCTGCCAGCTACACTTTGCTCAGACCAGGGGCTCTCTCTCTCCATTCGAAAGATGCCCCCTCACCCCACACCAGTGGCTGGGTTGCCTTTGGGGGACAGGGCTGCTTGCTGGTCAGGGAGCCCTTGAAGTCCACCCATCCCTAAAGGCCTGGGATGATGAGATGATAGGGTCCCAGCTTAGAAGTGGGTCTGCAGCCAAACATTTACCCAGTGTCCCCCTAACCGTAAGGGCCCCAAGCCAGGCCTGGCCCAGGGTAACATGGCCTAGTTGCCCGAGTTTCTCTCTGCCTCAGCCCAGTACTGAGTCTCAATCCAACGGGGCTCTGGAGAGATGGGGTTGAGCCCCACCCAGGCAACCCCACCCCGGGCCCTGGAGGCCAGGGCTCGGTGGACCCACACCTCGCCCAGGAGGAGGTAGAGGCAGGGCATTCGCCTGTGGGTAAGCGAGGAACATCTGGGCAGGGTGCCTGGGGCGTGCCTGGAGAACCAAGTCCCTGAGTTCCTGCCAAGGCCTGGGCCCGGGCAGTGGGGACTGCTCCCTGGCCCGAACTCCCGCGGAGGCCCAAGGGCCTCCGACCTGGGGCAGGAGAAACTCTGAGCAAGTAGGTTTGCCTGCTGATCAGGAGGAGCAGAGCACAGAGAGAGGCTGGTGGGAGTGCAGGGTGCACCCAGGGTCTTGCGGCAAAGGGAGAGGGCCACTGGCCCACTGGCGGAGCTGGGGTGCCAGCCATCCAGCCATGCCTTGGTGATGCTCTGGGGCCGCAGCCAAAGATAACAACACCGAGGGGGAGGCAGAGAGGGCAGGCACAGAGCGGAGCTGAGTGAGATCAGAGGGGAGAGGGAAGGGGGGTGGAGAAGGTGCCTGGAAGAGGGAGGGGAGGGAGGGGAGTAGAGGCAGAACTGGGACAAGGACCAAGGGTGCCACAGGGCGGCGACGAAGGGGCACAGACTGAGAGCCTGCAGCAGTGCCCTGGGAACCCGCAGGCATCCTGGGAACCCACAGGAGAGGGTGGTAAGGGGGCAGGAGGGACAGGGATAGGGACGTGGAGGGGCGGCATGGGGGCAGCAAGGTCAGGGTCTGAGACTTCTTGAGAATGGTGAGGGGGCAACAGAGCCAGGGATGGGACATCCAGGGCAGCTGAAGGCCAGCGTGGGGTGTGGGGACAGTGAGTGGCTGGCGTGGGGGCCCTACCTGAGGAGGGGAAGCGCTGGGTGCAGGCTGGCTGGTTGGCAAGCTTGAGTGTCCAGCAGTCCGTGTGTCCGTCTGTTGGGCCGTCCAGAGCAGCTGCTCACTCAAGGAGAGAGGGAGGGAGGAAGGGAAGGGGGGCAGGCTTCCAGGCCCCCCTGGCAGCTTCAAAGGGAGCAATTTTCTTGTAGACGGCTGGGCTAGCTGCACCCACTCCCGGCTCCCTGCTCACATCCCCTCCTCCAGCACCCCCTCTCCCTGCCCCAGGGAACAGAGCGAAGGGACACACGGTCTCACTCACACAAGGACCCTGGGCGTCTCTGGGCAGGCCCAGCCTCAGAGAGTCAAACTTTCCACTGCCCAGATGGGGACACTGAGGCCCAGAAAGGGGTGGGAAATGGCTTTCTGGCCCTGGGCCGGGCAGAGGAAAGCGAGAGGGCAGAAAGGAAAGAGAGATGAGGGGGAGGGAGGCAGCCTCTGGCTGCTGGTCCAGCGAGTGGCCCTGGGATTCTGTTCTGAGCCCGCCCAGAACCTGGGGCAGCCTGGGCCTGAACAAGGAGGTGCTTCTCTAAGATCCGGGAGGCAGCTGTGTGGGTTTCGGGAAGGGCTTGATCTAGGCTCCTGGGAACTCTGGACACCCCCATCCCCACCCCCACACATTCCAGCCTCTTTTTTTCCCTAAAAAAGAGGAATTTGTCTTATCTGTGTGACCTCCGAATGGGACTGAGCTGGGGGCGGCCGGGCCCGCCCAGACTTGGGGGATCCTCCCTAGCTTGCCTGTCCCGGAGCGCAGAGAAGCTGAGTGGGAAAGCTGATTCAGAGAGAAGGAACCTAGCGAGTCATTCTTTTGCTCAATCTGTGCAGGTCCCCTAGGATGTGATAACCGCTCTGTGGGTGGGCATTTCCTTCGGGGCTGTCGCCAGCCACTATACCCAGGCCATGACTGGAAGCGTGGCCACTTCCTGAGGACCCAGCGAGCCCAGCTCCACCTGCGGCTAGAGCAGGGGTGGGCAAACTTTTTGACTCAAGGGCCACAATGGGTTCTTAAACTGGACCGGAGGGCCGGAACAAAAGCATGGATGGAGTGTTTGTGTGAACTATTGTAAATTCAAAGTAAACATCATTACATAAA